GACTTTTTTTTTTTTTTTTTTTTTTTTTTTTTTTTTTTGGGCAAGTTTTTAGCTGGTTACTGACGGACAAGTGACTGCCAGGTAAACGCAGCGTCATTAATTATAGTTGTACCTTCATTAAATTTACTGGTATTCTTACCCTGTCAACTTTGATATACAGTAGGCCTAGTAGTAATAATAGTAGTAGTAATATTAGCAGTAGTGATATTTGCATTACAGTAATATAGTAGTACCTGTCTCTTATACACATCTATATTAAATACATGTAAAGACATAATATATTTTAAAATCGATTAAAACAATGTACATAGGCCAACTAACTAATTTGGATATTCGGATAATAAAGGCCTACAACACCATCGATTAGATCATAAAGATTGTATTTTATTCAAATTAGCCATATTGTGTTTCAGACCAACATAATTCTTGTTCTTTGTACCGTATCGAAGTGACACTGGTTCTATTAACCGTCTTTATTTTGGTAATTTCAAGCATATTTGACTACCCAAAGAAAAAGTGATCCAGAAATTGTAGACCTACTATAATTAGGGGTGGAGGAATGAATTTTATGTCTATCTATGAATTTTTATATTGTTGATATCAGGGAACAGGTAAATTACCTAGTTCCCTAGTTAATATAGTCTATTCTTTAAATGTTGGAATCGTTCCTTATAATATAATCAGTTGGGGGGGGGGGGGGGGGGGGGGTGCGGACCTAGAGAAAATATGGGCAGGGGGTAAGATAGTTCAACTATACTATACACAATAAAGAAAGCAAATTAAATTCGTTGTTTGTATATCAGTTGTAAAACCGCCTATTCATTTTCCTGCACGTCAATCTACATTACATTTATATTGCAAAGCTTCATTGGAATTAAATCAATACATTTATGATTAAGCATAAATGAACTACTGGATGAATACTTTGAAGACTAGAGTTATTGACAATTACACTACCTTTGGTGTACACAGTGCACTTCTTCAGGCGAATGTGAATGATTAATCATTCTTCAGGTGACTGTATCTATGCACGCTAATGAAGTTCACGTGTCCAAAATAAAATATGGGCAAATCCTGGTGCCACCCCTGGTTCTGCTATAATGTCTCAATATAATCATGTATACAAAGGTAAAATACATTTTTAAATAAGGGACCACAGAAAAGTGGTCTATAATTGGAGGTGATATTATTTTGAGGGGTCTTTAATTGGACGGAGACCTGTATTGTATTGTTGTTACTGTATTTAATCAATCGAATCTGTGATTGATTTAATCTTATCACACGAGTCTAAAATGCCGAACATTATGCCACACATAATAAATAAGATCTGTTAATTGCTTACAAACAAATACTGTAGCATATTCTTTACAGCCTCAGATAAGATCACGTATTTATATCGCTGGTACTTGAGGACTTAAACGAATAGTTTGGACAGAAAACGTTTAAATCGATTTTAGGCTTTGATTTCCAAATTAATTCACTTTGAACAATATAAATATTAATGTGAGGTCATGCTTATATTTACCATGTGCATCCAACTAAAATGACCCAATATTTGGTTAAGGTTGTTATTATTATTCATTAGGCTTGAATAGAGATGTAAACTGTGTTCATAATATCCGACCGTCGTCGCATGGTTGCAGTGTCTCGCAGAGACAGGTTCAAATTAATATAGAGATGGTACACCAACATTACACAGTGGCGTTGGTTGGAACCTTTTTGTTGCTGATTTCATATCAAGGTAAAACAATGCGTATGCACTAGGTGTTTTTTTTTTTTTTTTTTTTTTTTTTTTGGGCAAGTTTTTAGCTGGTTACTGACGGACAAGTGACTGCCAGGTAAACGCAGCGTCATTAATTATAGTTGTACCTTCATTAAATTTACTGGTATTCTTACCCTGTCAACTTTGATATACAGTAGGCCTAGTAGTAATAATAGTAGCAGTAGTAATATTAGCAGTAGTGATATTTGCATTACAGTAATATAGTAGTACCGTACTATGCCAGTGGCAGTGTAGTTGTCGTAGTAATATTTGCAATAATAATAATAATAGTAATAATAATAATAATAATAATAATAATAATAATAATAATAATAACAATAAAATAATAATAATAATAATAATAATAATAATAATAATAATAATAATAATAATAATATTAATAATTGTGGTGGTGGTGGTAGTAGTAGTAGTAGTAGTGGTGGTAGTAGTAGTAGAGTAGTGATGGTGGTGGTTGTAGTAGTAGTAGTGGTAGTGGTAGTGGTAGTGGTAGTAGTAGTAATGTAGTAGTAGTAATGTAGTAGTGTCAGTATTAGTATTAATGGCGGTAGTAACCGTAATATTTACAATAATAAAAATAATGTAGTTGCATTATTCATTTAAAAAAAAAATTTTCTGTCATAATTTATTTCCATTATTTTTTTTTTAAAGTAGGTTTAGTAGTGGGCTTAATTAGTATTGTAGGCCTGTCTAAATTTTACCGCAGTTGTTGATCCGTGGCAGTATGATCTTATCTTATCATAATAAAAAATAATATAAATTAGTGGTTATTCTTAATTGTCTTTTTTTCTCCTAAAGTATCGTCAACTAATGCACAATCTAACAAAACCGTCGATGAAAGACTTTACGAGAAGTTGTTTACAAATTACAACAACAGGCTTCGGCCGGTGCCAGCTGCTTTCGGCCCCACTACGGTAAACTTGACGATGCGCTTTCGATACCTAATAGATGTTGTAAGTGAGACTTTGTTACGGTTGTATACATCATCATGTATACAACATGATGATGTATACATTGTAAAAGAAAAGATGAAAAAAAAAGAGAGAGAAGGAGAAGGGGATGAAGAGGGAGAGAAAAAAAAGAAGGAAAAGGGAAATAAGAGAAGCGAAGAAGAAGAAAAAAAAAAGAAGACGTGGAAGTGGGGAAGAAAAAAAATGGAAATAGAGAGAGGAGGAGGGGGGGAGAGGGGAGGAGAACAGAAAAAAAGAGAGGGAAAGGAAAGAAAGGGGAAGGGAAAGGGGAAAAACTATTATAATCATTTTTTTTTTCTTTCTTTTCTTTTCTTATAAGTTTCTTATATGTTTCTTTTCAGTTTATTCAGATAAAATGTAATGCATTCTCCGGGAGATGGAGTGCGCGCCGTCGGGTTTCGGCATTGGTCACCCATTGTCATGAATTCCTGGCAATGGTGTGAATGGTGTCGAGAGCAGTGGCGTGTAGTTCATTTCCTGGGATGCGTATTATAATTTCTTTTCGTTATTAGTTTAGTTTAAACTGTTAATTTAGTTAATAAACTGTATTTATTAGACGGTGTATTATCTTAGTAAGAAATGTCTATTGCTAGACAAATGTACATATGGTTTTTTTTTCTTTAAATCTTATATTGTGAATTATTGTTGCACATTTTTTTAACGATTGTGCCTCTGTTACAAAAGAGAAACAATAAAGTTATTATTATTATCATACTAATACTTGAATAAGGACAAAATGTTTGTGCCGATTTACAGTCATAATTTTACAATAACACGAGTCTACAAAATGTTGGACGAGGACTTGTCACATACAAAAGCAACACATGTGAGAATTCATTATTCAAATTACGTTAGTACAGTACAGCGAAGGAACAGCAGAGTATTAAGTACGTAGTAGGTGTGGAACGTAGCACTTTAGTGAGATCGGCTGATGCAAACGCGAATATGTATATTGACAGGCGTAGCCAGATTCTTCCAAGGTGGGGGGGGGGGGTTTCTGGGTGTAAGGTCCACAGTCGAAGCCCTGGTGGGGTCGGCGAAACCCCCAAAACAAGAGTATTATTTTTTAGCTTTATGGGTAAAGCCATGTCAAGACTATAATAATTATTACGTTTGAATAAAACATGTAAAATGCCTAAATATGGTCATGATGACATTGCATCATGGTTAAATATAAGCAAATCATTATATCAGGGCATACAGCAGTTTTTTTGTCAAATATGAATTGATAGCCTGGACATGATTATAGGCTATTGTATTCTTAATTACATATCTAGTTTTTACTCTGTCTCTTATACACATCTAGATGTGTATAAGAGACTAGTAGTAGAGTAGTGATGGTGGTGATTGTAGTAGTAGTAGTGGTAGTGGTAGTGGTAGTGGTAGTGGTAGTGGTAGTGGTAGTAGTAGTAGTAGTAGTAGTAATGTAGTAGTAGTAATGTAGTAGTGTCAGTATTAGTATTAATGGCGGTAGTAATCGTAATATTTACAATAATAAAAATAATGTAGTTGCATTATTCATTTAAAAAAAAAAATTTCTGTCATAATTTATTTCCATTATTTTTTTTTTTAAGTAGGTTTAGTAGTGGGCTTAATTAGTATTGTAGGCCTGTCTAAATTTTACCGCAGTTGTTGATCCGTGGCAGTATGATCTTATCTTATCATAATAAAAAATAATATAAATTAATGGTTATTCTTAATCGTCTTTTTTTCTCCTAAAGTATCGTCAACTAATGCACAATCTAACAAAACCGTCGATGAAAGACTTTACGAGAAGTTGTTTACAAATTACAACAACAGGCTTCGGCCGGTGCCAGCTGCTTTCGGCCCCACTACGGTAAACCTGACGATGCGCTTTCGATACCTAATAGATGTTGTAAGTGAGACTTTGTTACGGTTGTATACATCATCATGTATACAACATGATGATCGCCACACTACCTCATAGTCTCATGAAAGGCCGCCGTAGGCGGCTTTTTTTGCGAGTAATTTGTAACGAACGCTAGTCGTAAATGGCTCTCTTGATAAGAATTTTAACATTTGTGGCTAGAGCACCTTAAGCACATGAAATGTTAGATTATTATAAAATCAAAAATAGGCCTTTCATTGGAATTCATTGTATTTGCCTACTTATACACATCTAGATGTGTATAAGAGACAGTATATATATATATTGATAATAATAATGTAATTAAAAGATACAAGTTGACTATGAATTCTTTACATTACATTTTGGTTTCCATTGGTTCTGATGATTTAAGTTGGATTGTTCGTTAAAGTGTCGTTTTACTAAGTTCAGTTAAACTTCACTATCCTATCCCATTCAATTATTACGTACTTCATTTTGTTGCTGTATTATTTCATTGTTTGCATGATTGATGCTTCAGAAGTAATTTCACATTTGAATGAACGCTTCGGGACCTTTATTGTTTAGAGGTTTTCTTTAGGGAGTACATTTGAGGGAAGACATTTATTGTTGTGTGTAAATGAATATAAACGCCTTTATATGACTGGAAATTTAGAGTGGAGTTTAAACCTACATTTCATTTTTATGTAGCCAACAGTACGGTACTTTCACGGCTGTATAATATAGATATGCTAATGTGTTTTTAAACTAGTGCTTAATTGTTCAAATTGATGTAAGTAGTTGGAGACCTGTATAACGCAGAATAAATTGGCGGTATTAACCATGTAGGATATATATTTCTAAAGTAAACAGCAGGATATAATTAAAGCCCTGTCAAGACTATAATAATTATTACGTTTGAATAAAACATGTAAAATGCTTAAATATGGTCATGATGACATTGCATCATGGTTAAATATAAGCAAATCATTATATCAGGGCATACAGCAGTTTTTTTGTCAAATATGAATTGATAGCCTGGACATGATTATAGGCTATTGTATTCTTAATTACATATCTAGTTTTTACTGGACTAATTTCATAAGCGTAAAGAAGCGTTATATCTGCAGGCAGTCTACACCAAACGTAATACACGTGAATACCAGTCATTAAATTAATAATAATGATTATAATAATTTTAATATTGATAATAATAATATGATGATGATACTAATACTAAATTTTAACACTTCTTGTAGACTATGAGCTTAAAATAATACGTTCTTGAAAGAGCCTAATTATTTAGCTCTTTTCTAATCTGATCTAACCTGTTGCATTGTGTGTACTTGTTTAGGATGAGCGTCACCAGGTATTCAATGGAGTATCGTGGATTTACCAGGTAAGAGACACCAATTACCATTAGTTGCTACAGACGATAGTGATTACATCAGATAGGCCTACACTGATTACTCAATAATGTATAACATGTATAACAAAGGAATTGCACTATCTCGTCTCGTATAGTTGTGCATACCATTCAACAAAATGACACATTAATCACACTTAAGTAGATAAATTCACAAATTATTCATAATATATTTACTATCTCAATCCACAGTATAAACTTAATTGCATGAAATTTGTTTATTTAAAAAAATTGCCATAATAATATCATAATACCATTCAACAAAAATGACACATTAATCACATTTAAGTAGATAAATTCACAAATTATTCATAATATATTTACTATCTCAATCCACAGTATAAACTTAATTGCATGAAATTTGTTTATTTCAAAAAATTGCCATAATAATATCATAATACCATTCAACAAAAATGACACATTAATCACATTTAAGTAGATAAATTCACAAATTATTCATAATATATTTACTTTTTCAATCCACATTATAAACTTAATTGCATGAAATTTGTCCATTTCAAAAAATTACCATAATATATCACCTGTTATAAAATGAAACACTTTTGGAGCAGTTTAATACACAGGTTTTCGTGTGCAGTATTACTGGTATCATCAGATGCACCTGATGAAGCCGAAGTCATGACTACAACCGAAAACCTGTTTAATAATTTATATATACTGTAGTTAGTCAATATAGTGCTAGCTACCAGTGTTGAATTTGTATATATTTTATATAAGGCGGCACACTATTTGTATTAAAAAAAAAAAACGAATACCACACAAACGTAAGAATTGAATATCATACTAAAATTTTATATGTACAAGAGCAAAATGCATTAATAAAAAAATAGAAGCACTGTTGTAAGATAGGTTTATGAATAAATTTAGAACAATTGCATGCTGGGGAATTTCACTGAATGTTTGAATACCAATTAACGTGTCAATAGATATAAGGTTCTTGCGGAGGTTTCTGTTGTTTCACTATAAATACAAACGAATAAAATACGCGACGGACGATAGTAACGTGTCATAAGGCAAGATGTTATGATAATGTATTAAAAAAATATCCCTATCCGCTGATCACAGTTAATCAAGAAAACGGAACCCAGCATCGATTACAGACATGGAGAGAAAAATGAATGTGATTATGTCACTACTAACTTTGATAACGATTCGAGTTCAGTAGGTTGCTGTCTCTTATACACATCTAGATGTGTATAAGAGACAGAGGATATATATTTCTAAAGTAAACAGCAGGATATAATTAAAGCCCTGTCAAGACTATAATAATTATTACGTTTGAATAAAACATGTAAAATGCTTAAATATGGTCATGATGACATTGCATCATGGTTAAATATAAGCAAATCATTATATCAGGGCATACAGCAGTTTTTTTGTCAAATATGAATTGATAGCCTGGACATGATTATAGGCTATTGTATTCTTAATTACATATCTAGTTTTTACTGGACTAATTTCATAAGCGTAAAGAAGCGTTATATCTGCAGGCAGTCTACACCAAACGTAATACACGTGAATACCAGTCATTAAATTAATAATAATGATTATAATAATTTTAATATTGATAATAATAATATGATGATGATACTAATACTAAATTTTAACACTTCTTGTAGACTATGAGCTTAAAATAATACGTTCTTGAAAGAGCCTAATTATTTAGCTCTTTTCTAATCTGATCTAACCTGTAGGTTTACACTGTACCAAGATCGATATTAACGATCGCATTTATTTTTCATTGAAAATAAAAGAAAACTTTAAATAATTTAACTAAAGGATTTAAAAATATTCCAAACCTGTACGCTTAAAAAAATAAATAAAAAGTAAATAAATAAAGTTAACTTAAAACACAAACAACGCGATAGGATATAAAGATTGAGAGAAGTTTTGGTATTCTGTACTGTATTTCTGAAGTGCCATTCGTTTTGGGGTTGCTACAATCAGGAGTTACAATCGATCCAACAAGGGAAGTACTATCTATTTCCTTACATTCCAAAAAGGAGGATTGGATGCTATTTAAATTTGATGGAGATTGAAAAATTAACTGTTAATTCTCTTGTTAGAGAACATAGAATGGTACATTACTTTCGGACTGGTATGCCTTCAGTAGCCCTATGTACTCTAGGTGTAAATAAATACAGAGAATAGGCCAATTTTAGTGTGAACTAAACCTGTTTTTATAACGTAGGGCCAATATACAATGCAAAGCAAATTGATCACAAAATCAGAAGCATGATTTCAAACATCAGAACCCAGCTTTTATTGTTTAAAACTGTCGGGGCCCCATTGAGCGAAACTACGGTATTATAGTTTATATTATATTTTTTAAACTACAATGTCGGGGCCCCTCACGCCTTGGGCTCTGGCGTCCCCCTTCCCCCGTCAGCGCCCGAGTGTGACGCCACTGATTGTAACAACTGCAGATTGTAGCAACCCCAAAACGAACGGCGCTTCAGAAAATACAGTACAAGTATACAAATTATTCTCGCAAACTTCATATCTATCGCGTTGTTTGTGTTAAGTTAACTTAATTTATTTTTATTTTTTGAAGTGTACAGTTTTTTTTGAATATTTTAAAATCCTTAAGTTTTCAATGAAAAATAAATGCGATCTTTAATATTGACCTTGGTACAATGTAAACCTGTAATCATATATGATTACTTATACAGATATTATAGGCCTAGACTAGGACCAGGCCTCCTAC